TAATAAATTATTTGGATTGTTCACGTCTGAGTCTGTGCATCAGGCACTGCAAACAGCCTTTTACATGGTCTCTGAAATACCACAGGCAATCTCTGTAACACCCTCTGACTTGATTCAGTCAATAACAAGGATGTATCAACAGGAAAGAATTAAAAAATAGGTCAGATAAAGGACTTCTTTGACAAATACTGCTACCCAAAATGTTTTTTTTTTAAAAAAAAAAAAAAAAAAAAAAGGAGCCTTTGCTGCCTTCACTACTTGGTTCTTGTGAGCTCATAATCCAAACAGATTTGATATGCCTTCCTCTGTTTATAGTAACACCACTGGGACTGAAAACAGAAAATGAGCATTTAATTTAGTTTTTGAATTACAGAGAAGTAATTACGATTCTCAGCTTCTTTCTGCTGCTCAGCTTCCAACTTCCCTTCAGCTAAATAAAATGTAATGGAGACATGCTCATCTTACAAGCTATATGCAGAAATAGAGATATAGTGAAACATTACCTATTTATTCCATTAGTTGTTACTGTGAAAGACTTGAAACTATCCCCACGAAGAGCATGGGCCTTCAGAAACACAGCTAGAGAACAAATTAACTAAACAATCAAATACACAGCAACTCTTATACATGAGGGTTACATGGCAGATGCTGCTGGAGAGATGAGTGATGTAAAATTGTAAGCCTTCAGAGTGGATTCTCTACTACTGATTCTACAGAACATAAATTAGACAAGGAATCAGACTACATTTAATGGGAGATAGTGCTATTTTCAGGAGTTGCAGGTTGTGATTGTGTTTTTTTTGTTTGTTTTGTCTGCTATGGGCAGAGCATGTGCTCCTTAGGGAGGAACCCACAGGCCAAATAAAGTGGTAACAGTGCAAAGCATATATTTCACTTGCAAACATTTCAGTTACAACACTGGAGAAAGATTTTTTCATTACTCTCCTGTAAATGTGCCCAACCTTATGATGAACAACCGCACCACTCATTTCACATCCTCACTTCTCCAAATCCCTGGACAAATGAGAAAAGAAAGGGACTCTTACTCAGATATAGAATCATCATAGAATAGCCTGGGTTGCAAAGGCCCACAGTGCTCATCTAGCTTCAACCCCCTGCTGTGTGCAGGTTGCCAACCAGCAGCGCAGGCTGCCCAGAGCCACATCCAGCCTGGCCTTGAATGCCTGCAGGGATGGGGCATCCACAGCCTCCTTGGGCAACCTGTTCCAGTGCATCACCACTCTCTGAGGGAAAAACTTCCTCCTAATATCTAATCTAAACCTTCCCTGTCTCAGTTTGACCATACCCCCTTGCCCTATCACCCACCCTCATAAACAGCTGTTCCCCCTCCTGTTTATACACTCCCTTCAAGTACTGGAAGGCCACAATGAGGTCTCCCCGGAGCCTTCTCTTCTCCAAGCTAAACAAGCCCAGTTCCCTCAACCTTTATTCACAAGAGAGGGGCTCCAGACCTCTGAATCTTAGTGGTCTTCCAGCTCATTCCAAGAGCTCTGCCTCTTTCTTGTGCTGTGGGCCCCAGGCCTGGATGCAGTACTGAAGATGAGGTCTCACAAGAGCCGAGTAGAGGGGGACAATCACCTCCCTCTCCCTGCTGGCCACCCCTTTTTTTAAGGCAGCCCAAAACAGAGTTGTCCTTCCAGGCTGCAAGCGCACACTGCTGGCTTATGTCCAGCTTCTCATCCACCAGGGCCCCAAGTCTTTCTCCACGGTGCTGCTCTCAAGGGGCTCTTCATCCAGTGTGTATAAATACCTGGGATTGCCCCCGCCCAAGCGCAGCACCTTGGCCTTATTGAAGCTCATTAGGTTTACATGGGCCCACTTCTCCAGCCTGTCCAGATCCCTCTGGGTGGTTTCCTTTCCTTCTAATGTATCAACTGCACCACCCAGCTTGGTGCCATTTACAAACTTGCTGAGGATGCACTCAATGCCACTGTCTATGTCACTACTCACTTTCCCTTCCTCTCCAGTGGGCTGGGGGAGAGAATTGCAAAAAAATAAAAATAAATTAAAAAAAAAAGTAGCACTTGTGAGTTAAGAACAATTTTATAGGACAGCAAGGGAAGAAGACATAAAAACAACAATAAAAGGCTATACAAAGTAAATGATGCACAACACAATTGCACATCACCTGCTGACTGATGCCCAGACAGTCCCCAGGCAGTGGTCTCTCCCCTTGGCCAACTCCCCCAGTTTTATTGCTCAGCATGATGCCACACAGTATGGAATATCCCTTTGGCCAGTTTAGGACCTGGTTCTGTCCCCTCCTGGTACATGCTAGTGACATGGACTATTGATGACTGCTTAGAGGTATCTTTCCTCACTCACAGGGATAGGATTTCTGTTGTCTGCAGCTAGAGAAACCTTCCAGCAGTTTCATTTCAAACCTCACCTGCTTTATCTCTTCCTGGTTTTTTCATGTTCAACCACAGTAGCTCCTGCAAGAGTGAAAGGATTCCTCCTTCTCTTTCCCCACAGAGTGAGACAAGAGACACAAAAATCTAAGCTAGATGTTGCCTGCGACATCCACAGTAGATGAAGGAATACCTTAGCCTGCAGCACCATCCCTGGAAGAGAGAGAGAACACACAACTGTTATCAGCAGTTTTCCCTAGCCTGTCTGGGGAACCTTTCTTCTGCAGGATTTTCTAGAAACACTGCTTTTTCCTGGATTTGTTTTCAACAGTTTCTGCTTTAGTCCTGAGGGAGCCATACAGGAGAAGCACAGCAGAGGAAGCTCCAGGAAAGCTCTGATGAACTGTGTATACACCTAGCTCCTGTAATTACCAGGTGTAGCAATTGGACAAATCAACGCAGTAAGAAATGCATTACAACAGAGGTGTGATGATGAAAGGACTGGCACAACAAAGAGGTGCTATAAAGGAATGAAAGAAATTTCTCACTGTATCTGAAGAATCCAGGTTCACAGGGGAAGACTCCACCAAGGAGGGATCTCCAACCACAGCTCCTTCCCCAGTGGCACTCAGCCCTTCAATGAGGTCTAAGAGAGCTGCAGCCAGGCTCCGCCCCTTCTGGTCCCACGGCTGAATTGCCTTCACCTGTGCTCCAAAGGCTGACCGGGTCTTTTCCCCAGGTGCTCAGTCAGTGGTTCAGCCTGCGACTCATGGGCTGAGAGTTCTACAATCCTCCTCTGGTCTTCCCTTCTGCTAGCTCTTGTGGCGATTCCGTGGGGTTGCCCTGACTCCAGCTAACAAGGAACCTGCGAAGCGGTCACTTGAATCTTTCCTCGCAGGTCCCTGCTCCAGCACTCTGAGGCACGTATGGCACTGTAAACCTGGTCTCCGGGCACCAGAGATGGCATCGGCTGACAGCAGAGGCGCCGGCGCGGCTCCCCACCCGCTTCCAGCCGGCCGCGTTCTGCGGCCGCGCCCCCGTTCTGCCGCCTCCGGGCGGCCACGAGAACCCCCTGGGGTGCCGCTGCTGATGGACAGGATTCGTGGCACCGGGGTGGTGGTCCCGGCCCCCACTTGTTGCCGCCACCGCCACACAGCTCCCGGGCACTGCGCACGTGCTCTCGGTGTACGTGGTGAAGAGCGGAGCGAGAGCCGCGCAGAACGCCGCCGAACGCCAGCAGCGAGCCGCCGCTCCTCTTGGCGCCGCCGCGGGAGAAGCCACCTCTTTCCGCGCGCGTTCTCCTTTAAAAGCGCCCGAAAGCGGCACCCCGCCGAGCCTCCTTCAGCAGGAACTCTCGCAGGGCGCGACCTCCACCCCCGTCTCTCACCGCGAGCTGCCGATCGCGGCCCGCCCCGATCGGAACGCGCTGCTCCCACCGCCGTGCTGCTGCCTCCCCGCGGGTCGTGGGGTGCCCGAGGCGGGGCCGCAGCTCAGGGTACCCTCGATAATCCCCTCGGTTTTGCATCCGTGCTAGTGATACGCGGACTGTCTCCCGCCCTGCGTACAGCCCGCACGATCCTCATCCCAGCGGTTAAAGCTCGGTCGCGGCACCGTTGTCCCAAAGCTAAGCTCGGCACGACCCTCCCGTGCAGCTCCGAGCAGCGCACCGCCCTGCTGGCAGCGCACTGCAGCGGACGCGGCCCATCCGCCCCGGAGCTTCGTGCCAACTGCTCCCCAGCTCCACTGCTCTCCACCTCCGCAGCTGTCAGCCTCCCTCCTTTTTCCTCCGGGGATACGATTTGAGAGGAAAAAAAAAAAAAACCCTCAACTGTCTGTTCCTCCACCCTGTCCTTTTAGCCTGAGCTCTTTAAGAAACTTGTATTGCCCTCCTATTTCCATGGGAGAGCACAAAACATACCAAAGAAACAGACTGGTAACAGACCTTATATAGAAATGTATCGTAGCAACAGCGTCGGGAAACTGTGAGCCTGAGACGCTCAACCAACGAGCGAGCGCCAGGAGAGGATTACCTGCATCGAATTACGGTACAGAACGGAATGGATTTCGCTGACCGGTGCGCAATTGCTCCCTTGCCAATAGGGGGCGTGCGCCCGGTACTGCAATAACGAATAAAGTTTGCTGCTATCACCAAGATCCTTGCCTAACTGAAATTTTTGACTTTGAGTGTTTCCCCCAGGAATCAAGTGTGTGCCTATTGTGTTGCAATATTAAAACACAACTGGGACAGCATTAATATGCTATTTCCACAGCAACTCCAACAAAGATTTCTCACCTTGTTTCTTACACTTTGCCAACATCTCTGTTCAACTATTTGACTGCAAAATCTGCCACTGCAAAACTCTAAGAAATCTATCAATAAGATAACCTACTGCTTGAGCCTTTTACGACAGAACAACTGCAGCTATTCCAGCTGTTGAAATTAAAAGCATCAAGAGAAGCCTAAAAAAATACACAACCACATAACAATTTTAAAACAAAAGAAAAAAGACAAGTAATTATTGGGGGGAAAAAAAGCAAATTAGTTGATATTTTGATCCTTTTTTATGAATAAAAAACAATGAATATTTTAAGTATGAAACTGGAACAAAACTATTACCAATGAACAAAGATACCTTTTATTGAAAGATTTTAAATCATATTTTAAAAACAACGCTCAAAACAGCACAGTTGCAAATTTGCAAGCTCACAAGTATATTGCTGAATTTTTCACAATTCTTTTTTATTTGTTTTGTAGTGTAAGAAGCTTGGGAAAAAAAAAAAAAAAAAAAGCTTACATTACTTTGTGAACCAGCAGGTAGGAAAATAATTAAAGTCATCATTAGCCAAGGATTTTCAAACTAGCTATACACTCCATAACAGATAGATACACTCCTCCTTTTTCTCCTCCCTAATCTCTCAAAGTAATGGCTTAGTTCTTTGGATTAAACGACGACCAACTGAATTGGTTTTGTCTTCTTGGCAACACTAAATCCAGTGACAGATCTCTTTGTTCTTTTTCTGAATCCACTAGCTGATAGCCCAGCATGCTTATAGCACCTTTGCAAACTTCCTGTATTTTTTTAATTTTCTGGAATGAAAGAACATTTCTCCAGGCCTGGGAAACATTAACTGCATCCCGAGATGTAATTTTGAAGGCTTCTTTTTTTTTTCCTGGTCCCTGTCCATGTGTGATGTTATAGACCCAACTTTTGAGTGTGGGGGTCAAACTAAGATCTGCAAATTTATACATTTCTGAGATTTCTGACAACGGGTCTCTTACCAGATCTTCAAAACGGATCATTAGATAGCGATCCTTAAGGAAGCTAGGTGGTTTTAGAGTTGCTGTTTCATAAATCTGAACGTGACTTCTACAAATCTCTTGCATTACTTTGTATTTGCTGTCTTCCACTTTAGTGCCATTGGTACTCAGAACAATTCCATTGTCACGGGCTAATGCTTTGACTGATTGTTCTCGTGACTTTACAACTGCCCTGGGGTCACGGACCAAGTGAATTATTTTGAGGTTCAGGGATGGATCGGTGAGAAGTGGGTAGAGGACCTTCAAGTCAAAGAAGCGAACCTCCTTGATTACAACATGGCTGTAAGTTTTACAGGCTTCTTCCACCTTGCTGAATGGGTACCGTCCACAAAGAGTTTTGCATGCCATTTCACTGGTTATGTCAGTACGTTGAAAGGAGTCACAAGCAGGAGCTGAACACAGAGCCCGACTCACCGCCCACTGGAAAAGATCAGATAAGTTTCTTTTCCAAGGCATGTAGGCATCAAAAACAGACATATCACAGAGAAAGACTGACCTGACCAGGTCCCGCACTGCCATGTGCAAGACTTTGGCACTGTTCTGGTACATTGTAACCCACACATGCCATGCAGGCTCCATCAGGTAGAAGACACTGGGGTGCTGGCTGAAAAGCTGTCCAACAAAAGAAGATCCCGACCTCCAGGAGGAGAGGATGAGGATGTGGACTTGAGATGATTTCTCCTCTGAGTGAGTCGTGAAGCTATTGTACCGGGCATACATGAAGAGTAGGAATCCAGTCTGGACCGTAACAAGAAGCGTAATGATTGTGCTAGAAATCCGAATCCTTGCCATTCTCACTGGGCAATTAAAAAGGCTGAAAAAGGGAGGGAAAACAATAGTGAGCAGTTGATACTATGGCATAATAACGAGAACACAATACAAAGTCTAGCATTAGTAAGACCTTTCTTTAAATACGCATGTGTATTTGGCACTACTTGGTTCCATCATCAGTGGTACTGGGAGGAGAGCATCTGCAGATGGACAGGTGTTGGAAACAGAAATAAATATATTACAGCAAGATTACAGTAGAAATAAATTTGGAGCAAAGGCTTGAAGCTGAAAGAAACCTTGAAGCTGCTCAACTGCTCAAAATACAAAATGCTCTCTAAATGGAATCTGGCAAATGCTGCCAATGGGAAAAAAAAATCCTAATCACTTCACTGTATTTCAGTCTTAGTCTAAAATTACAAGGGTTTCTATCTTTGAAAGGAGTAAGCGGCAACATTAACAATTGTGGCTACTGAAATCAAAGCTACCTTATCAATGACTGAGCATTGCACCGTGTGGTGACAGTAGGGTGCTGCACCAGCTGATGGTCAAGCACAACTCTCGATTTTTGAAAACTACAGAAGGATGAAAGCTTGCAATTTGAAGCAGCTTCTGGCCATAAATGTTACATGAAACAAGTAGCTGATGCATGGACTTGGGCTACAGTGCCCTGTGAGTGACTACATTGAGATGGCATTTAAGGAACAATTCATTTATGAGTTAAGCATTCCTCACAACTTTTTACTAGAGATTTTTGGCACCTAACTGCTCTTACTTTTGCAGATTTCACTTGAAAGCAGTCAGTATGCAGACAACACCAAGCTGAGTAGTGCAGCTAGAGGGAAGGGATGCCATCCAGAGGGACCTTGAAGGCTTGGGGGGCATGCCAACCTCATGAAGTTCAACAAGCCAAGTGCAAAGTCCTGCATCTGGGATGGGGTACTTTCAAGCACAGATACAGGTTGGGCAGAGAATGGCTGGAGAGCAGCTCTGAGGAGAAGGATTTGGAAGTGTCAGTTGATGAAAGACTCAATGTGAGCCAGCAATGTGCTATTGCAACCCAGAAGGCCAACCATATCCTGGGTCGCATCAAGAGATGTGTGACCAGCAGGTTGAGGGAGGCGATTCCACCCCTCTACTCAGCTCTTATTAAACGCCATCTGGAGTACTGCGTCCATTTATCAATGACACCGATGATGGAATCAAGTGCACCCTCAGCAAGTTTGCTGATGACACCAAGCTGAGTGGTGCGGTCAACACGGTTGAAGGAAGGGATGCTCAGAGGGTCCTCAACAGGCTTGAAAGGTGGGCCCGGGTGAACTTGATGAGGTTCAACACGGCAAAGTGCAGAGTTTTGCACTTGGGCCGGAGGAATCCCAGGCATCCCTACAGACTGGAAGGAGCGGTCCTTGAGAGCAGCCCTGTGGAGAAGGACCTGGGGGTCTCGATAGATGAAAGACTTAACATGAGCCAGCAACGTGCCCTTGTGGCTCAGAAGGCAAATGGTATCCTGGGCACCACCAAAAGAGGGGCGGCCAGCAGGGACAGAGAGGTGATTGTCCTTTTCTACTCTGCTCTTGTGAGGCCCCATCTGGAATACTGTGTCCAAGTTTGGAGCCCCCCGTACAAGAAAGACAGAGAGCTGTTGGAGAGGGTCCAGAGGAGGGCCACAAAGATGATCAGGAGACTGGAGCACCTCCCATGTGAAGATAGGCTGAGGAAGCTGGGCTTGTTCAGCTTGGAGAAAAGAAGGCTGTGGGGTGACCTCATTGCAGCATTTCAGTACCTAAAGGTAGCCTACAGAGGGAAGGGGAATCAACTCTTTGAAAGGGTTGATAACTTCAGGACAAGGGGAAATGGTTTTAAGTTGAGGGAGGGAAGATTTAGATTGGATGTCGGGGGAAGTTCTTCACTATGAGAGTGGTGAGGTGCTGGAACAACTGCCCAAAGAGGCTGTGGATGCCCCGTCCCTGGAGGTGTTCAAGGCCAGACTGGATGGGGCCCTGGGCAGCCTGGTCTAGCATTAAACAGGGAGGTTGGTAGCCCTGCATGTGGCAGGGGGGTTGGAGATTCACGATCCTTGAGGTCCCTTCCAACCCTGGCCCTTCTGTGATACTGTGATTCAGTTCTGGAGCCCCCAACAAAAGAAGGACATGGAGCAGGTCCAGAGGAGGGCCACAAAGATGATCAGAAGGCTGGAGCACCTCCCCTATGAGGACAGGCTGAGAGAAGAGCATGGGGAAGAGAAGGTTCTGAGGAGACCTTACAGCAGACTTCCAGTACCTGAAGGTACAGGAAAGCTGGGGAGAGATTTTTTTTATGAGGGCAGGTAGTGACAGGATGAGGGGAAATGGTTTTAAACTCGAAGAGGGTAGATTTAGACTAGATACTGGGAAGAAATTCTTGACTGTGAAGGTGGTGAGACACTGGAACAGGTTGCGGATGCCACCTCCCTGGAAGCATTCAAAGCCAGGCTGGATGGGGCTGGGAACAACCTGGTCTAGAGGGAGATGTCCCTGCCTATAGCAGAGGGGTGGAACTAGGTGATCTTAAAAGGTCCTTTCCAACCCAAACCATTTTGTGACTGTATGTTAATTGGCTGAATTTAAAGGAAATAAGATCCTTATGTGTGAAGATCACACTGAGTATTTTATATATAAGCATTTACTATTCAACTGCATTTAATTTTTTCTTATTGCAGCAACAGGTAGGTATATCAACACTCTCTGGACTCTGCTGAAAGCAAATCATGCAGACTAGTAAATGCAAATATAAACCCATCTGACATAATAAATGGAGTATTTTTGCGCTAGTAGAGAATGCTGAAAAGAAAGGTTAAGTGAAAGAGATGGTAGAAATAGGCAGTTATCAGTTCCTTCCAGTATGACAAGAATCACAGGGGGTGAAAGGGACCTCAAGAGATCATCGAGTCCAACCCCCCTGCTAAAGCAAGTTACCTACCATGAGTTGCATAGGTAGGTGTCCAGACAGGTCTTGAATATCTACATAGAAGGAGACTCCAGAGCCTCTCTGGGCAACCTGTTCCAGTACTCTGTCACCATTTCCGTAAATAATTTCTTTCGCATGTTAGTACAGAACTTCCTATGCTCAACTTTTAGGCTGTTACTCCTTGTCCTATCGCTACACCACTGAGAAGAGCCCAGCCTCATCCATTTGCCTCCCACCTCCCTTTAGAGATTTATGAATGTTTATCAGATCCCCTCTGCATCTTCTTTTCCACACACTGAACAGACCCAGGTTACTCAGCCTTTCCTCATATGGGAGATGCTCCAGGCCCTTTATCACTTTTGTGGCCCTCTGCTGGACTCCTTCTAGGACATCCCAATTTTTTTGACCTGGGGCACCCAGAACTGGACACAGTATTCTAAATGTGGCCTCACAAGGACAGAGTAGAGGAGGAGGAGGATCACCTCCCTCGACCTGCTGGCCATGCTCTTTTTAATGCGCCCCAGGATAACGTTGGCGTTCTTGGCCACAAGGGCACACTGCTGGCTTGTGGCCAACCTGTTGTCCACCAAGACCCTCAGGTTCTTCTCCATCAGGTCATTGCCTAACCTGTAACAATGCATGCAGTTATTCCTCCCTGAGGGCAACATTCTACACTTGCTCTTGTTGAACCTCATCAGGTTCCTTCCTGCCCAACTCTCCAGTCTGTCCAGGTCTCATCGAATGATAACACAACCTTCCTCTCAGCACTGTAACATCAACAAACTTGCTGAGGGCGGACTCTATCCTTTCATCCAGGCTGTTGATGAAGATGTTGAACTAGATGAGACCCAGCACCAACCCTTGGAAACACCACTATTTACAGGCCTCCGACCAGACTCGGCACTGCTGATAACAACCCTCTTAGCTCTGCTAGTCAGCCAGTTGTCAACCCACTGCTGATATCAACCCTCTGAGCTCTGCCAGTCAGCCAGTTGTCAATCCACCTCTCTGTCCACTCATCTATCCCACACTTTCTAAGTTTCATAACAAGGATGTGGTGGGAGACAGTGTCAAATGCTTTGCTAAAGTCAAGGCTCACAGCACCCACTGCTCTCCCCACATCTACTCAGCTAGTGATGATATCATAGAATATCTCATCAGGATATAAACGCTATTTTAAATGAACACAATTTTGCTACTAAATGCAACAACATACAAATCTGATATACAAGTAAAGCACCGAGTAAATACACATTTTCAGTGTTTAAGATTCATCTTCTATCCTTTTGCGAAAATTGGGAAGTTTCTGAGCAATGTACATACATGCAGACTGCAAAAATAAATGAATAATTACACAACAAAATGCAGCATCTATGAGAATATTATCCACGGTGTTTAAGTGCATGAGACCACATACATATTCAGTTCAAGAATTTCTCAGTAACACTGCCTCTTATTTCTAAGTTTCTCAAACTAAGCACACATAATTCTATTTACATAAAAATATTCTTTTATATTTGCAATAGCGTTCTCCAGCGTTACGGTTCTTTAACCCTGTATTAAACTTACACTGCTCTAATGTACACCTTCATAACACACTAAGATCTTTCACAACTTCTCACAAATGCAAAAAGCTGTTGAATACCTTGAAGGATTGCCTTCCCATAAAACTTTGAATATTTATAAACCTACTAAGTAGATTACATGATATCATAACCTTAATCACAAGGGACAGAAGCTTGTACTACAGGGTGCTCCTTCTGATCCTGTTTATTTCCCTGCAGGACTCACCAGAGGGTGCTACTAGGCAAGCTCTTCCTTTAAACACGGAAGGACAACATACTTAAACATCGTTAGTTAATAGGTGAAAAACTGGTCTGTGCCTTGTTCTGTGCTGCCTCTCTATTTGCCTGCCCTCTCTTCCTCCACCTGCAGCTCAGCATCGCAACTTGCCTAACCCATGCTCCCCTTGGGAGAGCAAAGGAGCTTGTTCCTGCTTCTTTTCTCCCTCCTTTGCTTCACAGCAGCACTTCCCTGGGGCTGCACCAGCCTTACTAGAGCAGGTTTCTTGAATGCAACAAACAAACAAACAAACGGTACTCATCTCAATAAGCTTGCTATCTAAACAGAGCACTTTTCAGACGTAACACAATATAAAAACAGAGTAGGGATGAAATAATTTGAGCCGAGGAGGTTTGTTCAGCCTGTGCTTTTAGGGACATTTATTTATTTGTAACATAACACAAGTTATGTTATATCAAGAAAATGGATCTATGGAAGTCTGAGAGCAGGATAATTATTGAGTGAACTTCCTTTCACTACAGAATTTAACCCAAAGAGACTTAATATATTAATAAAATTTAATTTTAGATTAAAAAACAAACAAAACAGATCCTACTGTTATATTTTACTAAAATTACTATAAATACAGAAAGAGCAGTGCACGTAGGCTCCCTAAGCTTGAGGCAAAAGACTCGCTTGGAAGACTCTGTCAGAATAAATAGGTCTGAGTCTGTTGCATAAAGATTGAAAATTTGGGCTAGAGTAAATCAAAGAACTGGAAATAACTGAATAAAAAATTACAAGTACCTTCTTCTCCAAAAGCAGTTCTGAGCAACTGAATCTCAACTGTCTTTGCCAAAGCCTTATCCAGTCATATTATGTCTAAGAAAATTTTCAGCATACTTTCTTTTAAGATAGTTTATATTTATGAAGCATTTTTAAGCTGAAGTCTTTATGCATTACAAATACATTACTTTAGCTTCCACAAAATGCAAAAACATACAATTAAATGATTTTCAGAATGGATTTCATCCACTGAGAAATGAATACTCGCTGTATTATACACTTAGGCTTTTGTTAGCTGAAAATTATTTCATCCTATATGCTTATCATACTCTAAGTGCTGACTTACAGACCAATCATTAGAGTTGAATATAATTTATGTCCTCACAATTCACCAAGACATACCTCAGTACTGACTGCAGAAAAGATTGCACTAGTAAACGTCAACACACATTTTACAGAATTAATAGGAAAATGTTTGTGCATAGTTTGATAAACACAGCAAGGCTCACCTGAGAGCCTGTGTTTTATGCAGGTTTACTCAGTACGTACTTCAGATGTAAGACATCGCATCACTGTATATAAGAAAAGAAACACCACCAGAATGACTTCTATCAGCTTACATTAGAAACAAATTTTCCAGTTAGAACAGTGAAAAACGCAGGAACCTTACAAAGCAGATCCAAGGAAATTGGAGTAATTCTTGCCATAAATCACCCTGCTGACAGAGTCGCTTTCCAGTGGTCTTCCCAAACTAGAAATGGTACATCTTCACAGGGCAAAAGCTTATTGCATTGCCAACAATATGTGGATTGGCTGGAGGGGGAGGGAGGGTGGAGCGTGCATTAATTTGGAGGGTGTCTTCTATAACCACTGGTACTTCAAAAAGAGCTAGAAGACTTTCCAATAGTTTCACTAACTAGTTGAAAGGATTGCCTGCTTAATTATTTTAACATAACAGTGAAGGTAAAACAACAGAAGAAATAAAGCACAATAAATGTACTATAATCAGACATTTTGAAATCTGACATCATTTCTTTTACAATCTAGTGGAAAATCAGACTGCAGGAGTCCCTTCCAGGTAATGATGAAGCTTAAATACTTCATAGTATAATGAAACATTATGGTATGACCATAAAACTATATTAATAATAACCATTTTTAAAAACGTATTGAGGTTTAATCTTTTTTTGTTCATTCTCTTTTTAGCCAAAACAGTTTGAAATTAGATAGTTTGATGAACAAAAGACTATGTCAAGGCTTAGCCCTACAAAACCTATTTCCCCATGCAATATTGCAGAAGATAACACGGTGTCTTCTGCTACTAGTATTTTACTCAGAAATAGTTGATGTTCCCAACCAAAACTGCAGCTGAGCAGATGTCATTCCTTGAAATCTTTGTTGAGAATGTTAACTGTTTCCAAGGATGACAGAACCGGGATCACAGAGACACTTGTGGTGATCAAGTGCCATTCACTCGTTCAGACTTTGCAAACGCTGTTAACAATAGCATCCGAAAAGTCAGCCTGAGGACGTGCAGGCTGAGCTGCGCGGTGCCCCATGAAAGCACCGCTAAATCTAAGAAGGAAGGACAAATTATTTGGCTCTACGTTATTTTCACCTAGAAACAGAGGCTTGACACGTTAGAAAAATGGGAAGGGATCTGCTAGAATGACAGAAAACGCGCTCTACAGCACCTGACTTCACCGTTTAATTCCAGCGAGCGAAAACCCCTCAGCTCAATCAGCCACGTTCTCCAGCGGGATTCAAAAAATAAACCAAAAAACCACCGCCGTCGCAGCACCGCCCGGCAGCAGCACCGCGCCGGAGGCGGGAACAGGGCCGGGCCCGGCCTCGGCCGGTACTGCTAATTCACCAGCACCAGCCGCCTTAAACCCACCGACCGGGTTGCTCAGGAGGGAGGCGCCGCCGGATAACGACGTCCTCGCCTACCGAGCCGGAAGCACACGCAGCTCGCCGACCGCGGTGCGGACCCCCGCCCGGCCGGACGTACCTCCCCGCCGCCTCCCGGCACCGCCGCGGATCTGAGCTCCCTGCGGAGACAATGAGCCGCTTTCAGACGTGGCCGAGGTGCCGCGGCAGCGGGAGGAGCCGGGGAAGGGGCCGATCCGCCCCGACTCCGGAGCATCACCGGGAGAGGAGCAGCCCGGCGGGGGCAGGCCGGCAGCCCGCCCCGCCCCGCCCCGCGCGGTACCTACTGGGGGGGGGCGCAGCCTTCCCGCAGCCCGCGGCCCGGGCGCAACGGCGAGGAAGGCCCCGCGGTCCTCCCGCAGCTTTCTGCTGCGACGCCGCCAACCCGGGGCCTCTCTGCCTGGGGCCCGGTGCCCCTCGCCTGCTGCTGACAAGGCAGCCAGGAGAACCACAAGGTCACTGCCACAAACGAGCTGCTTGGCTGGTTAAACAGATCTAGAGGCATTTTGTTTGTTTGCTTTCCCCCCCCCCCCCCAACATATCACCTCTTAAAAAAAAATCTCCTAAGGTATTCTCTTACATACTTGGGACCCCAATCATCTACATTTCTACTTTTGTTCATGTGCAAAAATTTTAATCCACGACTTCACTTTTCTGATAACAAGACACTTCCTAACATCCAACTCATTTTTGCACACCTTTGTGGCCTCATCACTGAACAAGGCTTAGATAGCTCTCTAGGAATTACGTACACAGTAGTTCTGTGTAGCGGTGTGGCGTTGATTTGCAGTGGTATTTTTATTTACTGTTGTTCAGCAAGATAAAGGAAGAATCCTTACAGGCAGTCTTCTAAGAAACACTTTCTTAAAGCTCCCTTAGAGCTAAGGCCACCTGTTTCTTTTATTTACACAGTTTTCATATGTTCTGTATTGCATTTTTCTTCCCCAGCTCTGTCCTGAAGAAAAACACAAAGAATGTTCTCTCTATTTCCTGAACCAGACCTATTCATCATTTCTAATCTCATAGACTGTTGCTCTCATAAGTCTTACTTATCACAACTTAATAAGGAAGAATATAACAGGATAGAACAGTAAAGGTATCTCCCATTAGCATTGTTGTCCCGTCATCATCATACAATCCTTAGAGCTGGAAGGGACCTCTGAAGGCCTTCTAGTCTCCCCTGCAACAAACAGAAACACTACAGCAAGATCAGGTTGCCCAGTGCCTGACTCAGCTTCACCTTTGAAGTCTCCAGAGACAGGGCATCAACCACATTACAGAGCAGTCTGTTCCAGTGCCTCACCACCCTTTACTGTAGAAGGCTTTTTCCTTATAACTAACCTAAATCTACTCTCTGAGCCTGAAACCACTTCCCCTTGGTCTATCACCACAGATGCTGCTAGTCTGTCTCTTTCTTTCCTGTAGCTTCCCTTTAGATACTGGAAGGCCACCATCAGGTCACTTGCAGCCTTCTCCTTTCCCCAGAAGGAGAACCCCAGCTCTCTCAGCCCCCATCCTCTTTCATCTTCCAGATGCTAGTTTAAGCAGATGCCTGCTCACCTTTTGAGTGTTATAAATTCCATTGCTGTGAGAGAACAAAAAGTCAACCCCCTAAAATGGGGTCCTAAGGTCCCTTCAGATATTTCTAGTCCTTGCTCATGTGCATACTAATGCTTGTGCAAACACATACCACATTCATCAATAACTGATCAGTCTTAAGAAGTGAGTATGTTTCGTACAATCCTCGCCATAATAAGCTCCCTGAGCTAACTCCTGCAGCCACATAAGCACCAGCAGAACTGTAAAGGAGAAGAGCAGGGACTACAGCAGACCAGCTATAAATATCAATTTCAGATGCCGAGTAAACGATCTCCCAGGAACCAACATTTATTCTTGTTAGTGCCCGGAAAGGCTAAAAAGCAATTAACGGTTGCTTTGACACCAGACACTCTGATACAAAGTCAATTTTCTGTATTCATAAGCTATCAAGTTATGAATATGATATAATCTAACAGAGCTCAGAGGTTCAAAGTGCAAACAGGAGACTTCAAATGAAATATACTTACCCGCAAGTACAGATAGAACAATTTACAGTTCACAACTGTGTAAAGTTTCAGAAGCAGAAGATGTGCTGGATAACCAAGACAGCCCTCCTATATTAGCATTAGGACTTGTGTTCAAGAATAAGCTGGGATGGAGTCCATCTAGCACGTAAAGATTGAGAGAAATGGAAGTAACCAGACTGCAAAGTTCCAAAGAAATTTAAACAAAACCTCAAAGGAAGCTGGTTATTCTGAGAAGATGAAAAGGAATGGGCAGATTGTTTTTTTTAACTACCAAGATACTGAATTCTGGAAGGCAACAGCCAAAAGAAACTGTATACAATTCTCTACAAATTATTCTTTCACCTTTATTAGCTACACCATGGTTCAAGAGAATTTTGTTAAATAATACCCAGAATTGTTTTAGAATCCCTCCTGCCGTAATACCACTTTGCTAGAATTGAATAGTAACAAATTCAGAAACATAAGCCCCAAATGAAAACAAACAAACAAATTGCTTCGCCTATTTTCTCTTTCTGGGCTTAAGTCATCTTTCCCACCTGCCTCCAAGAATGAGGAACAGTCTTCCAGTTTTCAGCAGGAATTACTATTAGTTTCATTTTACTATATTCTGAATTATCATAAATTCTGAAAATAATTATTCATTTGCTTCGGAACTCTGAAGTTTCTTTGGTAGTCTGTTACATTTTCTTTGTGAAACACTATGCTTCTGTGTTTTGATATTCCCAATTAATAGCTTACAGTTACAGTAATATTACCAATAGTAAATGACTGTACAAACCTTGCAGATACCATCACCTAGAACCCAGCTTCTCAGATCAGCCTTAATTTTTCCATCAACAAATTTAATAACAGTCAGTGGACACTTATAACCAAGGTTACAGAAAAAAAAAAAGGAAAAAAAAAAGAATGAGTTACAGTCACATTCCCTATATATCATATATATTTTTCCCTTTTATAGCACACAAGTGGATATATAAGTAGCTATTAGCTGAACCCTAGCAATAGTGAATTGATTAAAAACACAGTACAAATAGCTCATTATTATGGTTATCATATTATTTTCAATCTTCGTGGTTTAACAAAATTTAGGTAATTCAAAAGCAGCTCACTGAATTCTGTTTTTGGGGTTGTGTTTTTTTTTGTTGGGTTTGTTGTTGTTGTTGTTTTCTTTTCTTTTCAAGTGTAATCCTGTTGGAGAAAAAAAAATAACAAAACCCACAAACCAAGTTCTTCAACTGCTCAAAATTAAACATTTCAGTCCCAAAGCAATGTTGTAAATGTTAGTATAGAAATACATAAACACGCACATCTTTAAAAAAAGAAAATGACATCCTTTCATCACAAGATGTAGCAAGAACAGAACATACTTAGAACATACTTACAAGGTTCTGATCTTCTAAAGAAAAAAAAAGTACAGAGAAAAAAAAAGCAGGTATTTATTTTTAAACCACATTTCTTAAAAGTTTTCAGGCATTTCCTCAGGACTGATGCTGTTTGTAGGACAATACTGGAGACAATGGCAGAATTGGCGAAACTGGAGTCGTAGCAAACACCTGATTCTGAAACACAAACATTTTAATCCTACCAAACACCCAAAGAAAGATGAGGAGAATGCTGACATACTGGATCCAGGCAAATTTAATCATTTCCCAAAATCCTGGCTGATATTTATATGAAGTCAAGGAGCATTAAAGACGACACTTCTGATACACTCACTGCAATAACTAAACAAAAGAACTCAGAGGTGGAGAGGCACTTCAGTTTGTGCAACAAGTACAAAGCCTTTGAGTCACAGAAACCTCAAAAAGCCCTTGACCACAAAAAAGCTAGAAGAATGCCTATCATAGAAGATGTCCAAAACAACTCTGTGGAAAGTGTCTATGTTGCCTCTACCTCACCAAGAAGTAGGTATTGGTAATTCTTAATTCAGGTAAAGAAAAGTTGTGAGGGACGTGCTCTAAGTTTTTTTTTTTTTTCTAAATACAGGCCTGTTCTTGTCTGAGAAACTAAGCAAAGAACATAAGGATAATTACTTTGGAGCAAAAAGGATTTTTTGGTTTGTTTGCACATGCAACAGATTTGCCTCATCCACTGCAGGGCTATCATTTGCTGAGCCTACAATGCATACGGGTTTCTGATTTGCTTTAGGTCATAAAATGCAGTAACACGATTTGCCTGTAGCAGTTACAACAGCTACAGGATTAAAGAACCAGACCAAAACTTAGTAAGGACGTTCAGAGTGAACTGTTAAGAAACTGCCTTAAAATATCATTTTAGTAAAGCAGAACAGCAACAGGGATTCCCTGTAGAAAAAGACAGAAAGGGTTTTGCAAGCAAAAACATTGAGGGTATGCACATGCAAGGGATGGGCAAACAAGTATACAGCATATGCTTCATTGAAAAAGGAAAAATTTAGGGACAAGTCTAAAAGAAAGTAGTGTTCATTTGGCCTGTATGTGAAGGCTCAAATAATACTATCCAGTATTTCACCATTAATGCAGCTTTCTAAGGATATAAGATAACTTCCACCGGGTAATGAATAGTGGCATCAATGATAAATGGTGTATTTGCTGCTCTTCCAGTCATCCAAATGGGGTTAGGATCTGAAAATACTGTCGTCACTAAAACAGGGAAGGAAAACATCCAAGTGAATGGTCTTTTCAGTTCTAATAGAGAACTCAAATCCTTAAATAACAGCTACTAATGTGGTAACTATTGCTGTCCTGCAGTTAGCAGCTATACATTCAGGCTTACCATTTCTATCTCGATACGCTGCAATGATGTTTTTTAGATCATAGTCACTTGCAAAAGGACTTGTGCCATTGACCACAGACACCTGTCACCACAAGGAGATATCTGCATTATTTGTCCACTCTTCAGGAAAGTAGTTTTACTGAGTTTCTTAGGCAAAGTAACTGTGCCTTGTAAGAAATCACAAACATTAGACTGAATATCTGAGCACAAAAACCTCTTCTGCCCTCCAGTGTAACAAATAAACAACAGTTCAAAAGTTACAGGGTCCACTCTATGTATGTGTACAAATAATTAAGGGGTCATTTATGGTAACAGGAGAATAAGGGAGAAATTTACAGATGAAAAAAAAAAAAAAGTTCTCACATTGTATCTGGTATCTAGCCCACAATGGTTAAGTAATTGCCTCTGGTTCAGTTTCAGGTCTCCATTCGCATAGAGCTGAGATCCCGGTACAGGAGAAAAAAACTGAAGAAAAGCCATGCTCTGCATCACGAATGTCGACATTCTCTGAAACAGTGAGCACATGAGCAGAAAACTTAGCAAAAACAAAATCACCCACAGTTTTCTACCAATTCGTATCTATAGAATTTCTCCATAGATAGGATTTTGTTGACATGAATGTTTCAAATTATTACATTATTCTAAAGAAGGGAGCATCAAAAAATAAATATGAATAATCTTTTATAAATGAACTAGCTCTGTTGTTAATTAACTAATTTTGTTAACTGAAATTCCACAGATGATTCAGTGAAGTCAGTGAAATAGTTTAATGACAAAAAACAAAACAGTGGCTTGCCATAACATGCTTAAAGCAGTAAGATTATCAAACACTTTTACTGGAGTAAAACTTTGAAATACTCAGTTACCAAAGCAAGATAAGGACTCAGACTTTGTTACAGGCCAAACAAAGAAGATTCTCTGCACTCGTCAACCACTCAATCTGAAGGGAAACTTGCACATTTACATAAGATGAAGCACTGTTAGTACTGGAACTTTTCACATACTATTGATTGCAGGCTTAATACTTCAGCACATAAACTCAGGACTGCAAGGCTTTTACTCTGTGATTCAGAGTAAACACAGCACGGCAGTGCTTGCTAAGTTTTTTCCATCTGTATTCAGCAAGTTTCTTTGATAAATTAAACCTAATCTTGCTAGTAAAATTTCCTTGCCTGTCTCTTCATTGAAATCTATAACACATTTTATTGCTCTGTACTATTGCTACTTTCACATACTTCCCAAGAATTCTCTCTGCACGCGGTGTCTTACCCGCTCCCTTTATGTATTAAACTGCCACCTGATCCTCCAATTCAGAAAACCACTTGTCAAGACACAGCAGTACTTAAGAACGCACAAATTTCTGCGTACTGCAAGACTCTCAAATATTTTCTGATAACACCAACTCCAACATGTATCATTGTACATCTCTGTTCTATATGCTACACTAGAGATCAAAAGAATATACAGAAGCAAACCAACCCTTCTCCCTGAAAAAAAAAAAGAAAAAAAAAAAAAGCCATCAATCTCCACAACAATGAAACATACCACAACAGAGAGACTAGCAGGGGAAAAAAATAATATAAAAAATCAGGTATGTTACTAAAATCTCTCAGAAATTTTAAATGTGCAAAGATTCTTTGCATAACTATTCCAGAAATACTATACTGGGTCTATGTGTCGCAACGAATAAAACAAAAAAAACACTCACATAAAGGTGGTAGGAAAAGATCAAAATCAGCTGAACACCAACTACGTGCTCTGTAGGTTGTAGTGGAAGCTCTAATTTAAAATGCAACTGATCCGTTTTGCCATCTTGATTTTTGTCTTCTTCTCTAGTCTAAAAGGAGCAACCAGACTTTTATTTATTTTAATAGAGGAGTTCCTGTTAAGAAGAAATACAAAGAAAAGTTAAACTACAGATTTCTATAACTGCAACATGTACATACAAAGAAAGCAAATAAACAGCATAGTTAGAAATATAATAAAAAACTACTTGATTTTAAAGACATGAGATTAGAGAGAAGAAGCCTTAATTCTGTATCACACAATGCACTCCACAGGAAAAGAAAAGACTTTCCAAGAGCTCTTCTGTCTTATGCTATTCCAAGCATCTTCCCCGTATGCTACAATCAATATCTTAACACTAGATCTTCTGCTACATCCATGTGAATGCTTAATCACCTCCAGCCATGGCAGCTCACTCTTAATAGCTTCTTTATACCACGTACAGTTCCTGGTGGTAAGCCAAGGCTCGCTGTGCTTCTGTGCCACTCATGCCCAGTACCTCAGCAATTCGCAACCATAATGAGGAAGCATAACAGAGCTTTCACAGATAAATAACTACCACTCCTGAATCCCAGAAGGAACAATAGCTGCAGGGGAGAGACTATATGCTTTGAAAGCATGTTCCTGCATTCAAAAGCAGGGGGCTACCTGCAAACTCCTACAAGCTTCAGAGTATAGTAAGCCTTACAGAAGAGGGGGTGGGAGCGGGAAGGAAGAAAAAGAAAAGGAAGAAAAACAGGAAAGAAAAGCCAGCAATTAGCTTTAGGAAAATAAGCAATGTCTGCCTGCCAGCCAAACAATGAAAGGAAGCCAAGTGGACTGAAAGCCGCCTGTCCGAGGCCAACGAAGCCGCATAGCGCGGGGCTGAGGACGGAGTTCCCCGACTCCCTGCCCACCGCCGGGCCGCCTACCGACACGAGCGGGACGCGCAGTCGGTCCTCCTGGAGCCGGTTGAACGCTGGGAACGTGCTCCATGCCAGGAAGCTACCCGGGCCAGGCCCGGTGGTGGCCACGAAAAGTACCTCGTACCGGAAGCGGACCGTGGGCTGCTCTCGGTACGCGTTCTGCTTCAGCCAGAAACCTGCGGGCAGAGACGGCGCGAGGTCTCAGCGCGGCCCCGGGCAGGGCTCCGCGGGGCTGGGAGTTGCTCACCGTGGCTCCTGTAGGCCACCAGCAACGGCGGCACGTAGGTGAGCACGGCGATGAGCAGCAGCGCCAGCACGGCAGCGGAGCAGAGCCCAGCTCGGTAGCGCGTGTGAAGCGTTGGGTGCGAGAACAGTTCCACGCCCGCCATCCCGCGCCCACCGCAGCGGCGAGCACTGAGCGACCGAAGCCAGGCTTTCCCACGCGCCGGAACGGGCGCGCCAGCCGGTGAATACTAATTCGCACGCTCCGGGACGGACGGTTGCGGCGAAGCGGGGAGCGCCCGGGGACGGCAGCAGGAAGGAAGCGAAGGCAGTCGCTACGGCGTCGGGACCCGCAGCGCGACCACCGGCATCGCCGCGACACCGCCGAACGGACCGCTCCGCGGCCCCGTTCCCCCCCACGTGACTTCGTGCCGTCGGCTGCAGCCCCACCCCTCCGTCCGCGAGCCGGAAGCGCCGCGTTCCAGCGGTCGCTAAGGAACCGCCGAGCCGGAAGTCCCGCCTGCCGAGCCGGGGCTGATTTTGTTGTGACAGGGCCCGTGACAGCCGCAGGCCCCGCCGCCTGGCTCGGCTCCCTTCTTGCCCGCACCTGGGCCTCGTCGCTGGCTCTGCTTCCCGCCCATCTCGCGCCATGAAGTGGATGTTCAAAGAGGACCATGCGCTGGGTAAGGGCTGGCCCGGCGCTCCCCGCCGGCGGCCTCCTGTCTCCTGCGTCGCTGTCCGCACCGGGCCTCGCAGTCGTGCGCGCTGCGGCGGGCTCCCCGCGCCGGCGTGGCCGAGCTAGGCGGACGGTCCCGCGGTTCTCGACGAAGGGCGGCGCGGCGGTGGTGAACGAGCTCGGTGGCCGGGGCCGCGTCACGGAAGGCACGACGGCTGCGGTGCCCGCTGACTGCTGTGCCTGCCGCGCTGCTCGCTCTGTGTAGGACTCTGACTGCCCTGTTACTGTGCAGTAACTAACTGCGAGTTTTGTTCACAGAGCACAGATGCGTGGAGTCGGCAAAGATCCGCGCCAAATACCCTGACCGTGTCCCGGTGAGTAACCAGGCAGCTTTGATCCAGAACCTAGAGGCAGAGGTGGATAAGCTGCCTGCATCTTGCCCTCTATTCTTTGACTGGATCCCACCAAGTAAATTCATTTTCCTTTTTGCCACCTTTGATGTTTTAAAGAAGGCCCAAAGACATGCAACTAGTCCAGCATTCCTTCCTCTGCCCTAATGTGCATTGTCAAATAAGCAACAGTGCCTGATTTTCCGAACACTTACCATGCATGCCTATAGTTTATCAGTGATTGCTAAGAACTATTGCATCCCCAGCAAAGACCTTGTAGAATCATAGGATGAGCTGCTCCATCAAAAGAGGGGTGGCCAGCAGGGACAGGGAGGTGATTGTTCCCCTCTACTCTGCTCTTATGAGGCCCCATCTGGAATACTGCGTCCAAGTCTGGAGCCCCCAGTACAAGAAAGACAGGGAACTGTTGGAGAGGGTCCAGAGGAGGGCCACAAAGATGATCAGGAGACTGGAGCACCTCCCTTACAAAGACAGGCTGAAGGAGCTGGGTTTGTTCAGCCTGGAGAAAAGAAGGCTGCGGGGTGACCTCATTGCAGTATTTCAGTACCTACAGAGAGCCTACAAAGAGGAGGGGAATCAACTCTTTGAAAGGGTGAGTGACAGCAGGACAAGGGGAAATGGTTTTAAGTTGAGGGAAGGGAGATTTAGGTTGGATGTCAGGGGGAAGTTCTTTACATAGAGAGTGGTGAGGTGCTGGAACAGCTGCCCAAAGAGGTTGTGGATGCCCCGTCCCTGGAGGTGTTCAAGGCCAGATTGGATGGGACCCTGGGCAGCCTGGTCTAGCATTAGGTGGGATGGTTGGTGGCCCTGCATGTGGCAGGGGGGTTGGAGATTCACGATCCTTGAGGTCCCTTCCAACTCTCGCAATTCTGTGATTCTGTGACCACAATGATCATCGAGTTTCAACCCCCCTGCTATGTGCAGGGTCATTAACCAGCAGACCAGGCTGCCCAGAGCCACATCCAGCCTGGCCTTAAATGCCTCCAGGGACAGGGCATCCACAGCCTCCTTGGGCAGCCTGTTACAGGGCATCACCACCCTCTGGCTGAAAAACTTCCTCCTAATGTTTAACCTAAACCTCCCCTGCCTCAAGTTTAAAACCATTCCCCCTTGTCCTATCACTATCCACCCTCATAAACAGCCGTTGCTCCTCCTGTTTATATGCTTCCTCCAAGTACTGGAAGGCCACAATGAGGTCTCCTCAGAGCCTTCTCTTTTTCAAGCTAAACAAACCAGTTCTCTGAACCTTTCTTCATAGGAGTGGTGCTCCAGCCCTCTGATCATCTTAGTCGCCCTCCTCTGGACCCGCTCCAAGAGCTCCATGTCCTTCCTGTAGTGGGGGCCCCAGTACAGTACTTTCAGTGTCTTGAAGATACATTCTGTGTGATTTCAAGAAAGAGAGTAAGTTCTTTACACCGTGACAGTCCTCCCTCCTGGCTAGATGAGGGAGGTGATTTTCCCATACGTATTCTGTGCCTGTAACCAGCCTTACCTTGGTGAATCCGTGTCATGCAGACCCAGTTGTTTGAAGAACCATTGCAAGTGGTGACTCCTTTCTGCAATAATACCTACCTGACCGCCAAGTAATGGATGGCTTTTTCACTCTGTAATCCTTTTTACCATGTTTCAGTCATGGAGGTGACCATACTTAACACCCTAGTAATACTCTTAGCAACAGTTAGCAACACGTCCACACTCTCAACCTGCCTACTTACGAGTAAGATTTTCCCCATCTCATCTGATGACATTAGTTTCTATTAGCACCATTCCTATCTGACCTCTTGGTAACTTACTAGCATACAGCACAACACAGAAGAAAACCTCCAACCGCATTACCTATGTCAGCTGCTGAATCAAACCTAGTTATGACATCTCCAGATGTAGTCTGGCAAGCTGATCCAGTCCTTGCCATTCTCCATTTGGCTAACCATAAAACATAGTCTGTAGCACACTAGTAACAATGTACCTTCACAAGCATACATTTGTCCATTTCCAAGATGTCTTTCAAGATGAAAAAAAGAGACATTGCAACTCACGGTGCATGTTAGAATTACATGGACAGCAACGGGGAACAAGGTAACAGGAATTAAATCTCCCAAGTGCATCAAGTGCATTGTGATGCTTTGTTTGAGCAGATAAATATTTTCTGCTTGATGTTTCAGATTAAGCCACCTAACTTTTACAGAGTAGTTGGTGCCTGTAACAATCAGAAAGATCAGTCCAATGGAATGGTGATACAGGAGGTGTAACAACAAAAACGCTAGTACAATAGAAAGATGTTATAAGGGAAGGAAAAAAGGACTGCTCACCTGACTCTGAAGATCTGAGCTCACAGGGGAAAACTTCACAAAGAAGGGACCTGCAACCAAAGATACTTCCCCAGTACCAGTCAGGCCTTCAATGAGGTCTGCAGCCAGGCTCCACCCCTTCCAATCCCACAGCTGAATTGCCTTCACCTGTGCTTCCAGGGCTGACCAGGTCCTTTCCCCAAGTGCTCAGTCAGTGCTTCAGGCCATGATTCAACAGTTACCATACAGTATCAAATACCTTTTTTTTTTCATTTACCAGTCAAAGATTTTTTTTCAGACTTAACGCACATTTCCTTCTTTTCGGCTTATAGTTTACATCCAGAGTGATGTAGATCAAAGGGAATTCAGTTCTCAGCTGCTGTATACAGATATTTTAGGGGCTCAAGCATTATAAAATGTATTAAGATAACATACGAACAACTTGCCTTTGTCTCTTTAGGAATGAAATGGGAGTAGAAAGACATTCATGCTTCCTAAGCACTGCTATTTTAAATTTGCTGGGGGATCAAGTGCTTGAAGGGTAAAAGGTATCTGTAAGCTTTTCTAAAGCAGTTCAACAGTAGCCTTGACTCCCAGCTTTGAAGGTTTCTTCATTGTGAAGTTAAAATGTCTGGTGGATTATTGCAATGTGTTTTTTTAAGTATCAGTTGTTAAGGCTTGAATATTCTGTTCAGGCTGTTCTTTGTGTTCTTTATGGTTCCCACATACTGTAAGGGCCAGCTAGTTTACCCTCCTGTTTCTGTAGACTCAGTTGTAGAAAATAAGAAGCTTCTCCAAACCATAGTATATTTTGTACATTTATCTGAGCATTACCTATATGCTGTAGCAATGGTGAACGCAGATAAGCAGTGGAGATGTGGCAATTTCTTGTCAGCTCTATTTCCCCTCATGCTGTGTTTGTCCTTCAAGGACTAGTCTATGTGGAGCAATGACCATCAGGTCCTTTCTAGACATTATACTTAATTCTCCTTCTGATACCTGTTGCTTTTTGCTTTATTTGTGAACACCTTGCAATCCGTCCTTTCCGTGGTCAGTTTCTTAATTTCCCTACATACGAGTAAAATACTCTGATGCACAAAGAAGAGACTAGCATCTGGTAAGACAATAAGAACAAGAACAAACCATATGCTTTAGAGTGCAGTTATGCATACTCAGAATAGCATGTTGAATTTTTTTCTGCTGTCTTGTGAAAAAATAAGTACATTATTGCAAACCTGAGTCAGCAGACATTCTGAAGTGGTGATTAGCATGGGTAGTTGTTTTTCAAAGTAGTAAACAAAAGCTTGTTGATGCTGTAAACACCATCATATTTAGGCATCTTTGTTTGGATCCCATGTGCCTTCTTTTCCCAAACTCTTCCGGTATAAGCAAGAAAGTGCCAAGTTCTTATGTCCAGGCAGTATAAGAGTTTGTGATTTTTATTTTTTTCCTCTTACAGTCTGCATATCTCACCTGGCTCTTTCTCATATGTAGCTAAAACCTACATTTTATTAGCATGGTTTCCCTGTCCTCCTGTTTCTTCATCCGACCAACTGAAGCTGTAATCATATGATCTATTGTATCAGATACATACATAGCTGGATTATCTATCAGTGTAAGTTTGGTATGTCAGAGGCACACAGATAGTATCACATAACAGCACATTTTTGGTACTTTGGTAGAGTGCTCAGCTGACACCATTGGCAGACCAACTGGTACTCCATGGCACACTGAAGGCGTGCTTCATTTTGATGCCTTGGCTTAGAGTTTGGCAGAAACACTGACTGCCTAATTGGGAGATCAGTAATCATTGCCAGATTGATTATACAAACCCAGACAGAAGGAATGTCAATTCAAAAGCAATGCTGCAATGGTAGAAATATGAGCATGTGTCTATGGCAAGCAATTTACACCAGAACTCTAAGAATTTTGACTGTATTCAGATAGAGCATGGTTTCTTCAGCTCTTCACTGCTCCCTGGCGTATACCTCTGCTTCTGCTTAACTTGACAGCTTCTGTCATAGTGGTACACATGTGATGTACATACGTACGTACCAGTATATGCTGTGTTATGATACAGTACATTGCACAGATTAATACGAAGAGCTTTAAAAAGAACTTAATTTTGGAATTTTTTACATGGAAGCCCAAGAGGTATTTTGGCATTTAGGACTTGCACACAGCAGGTGAAATGGCAGATTAGATTTTAGACTAGATTGGTGGTTTTCCCTCTCATTCACATTGATTTTTAATTTTTTCTATATCTTTTGTTATACTCCATATCAGGGCAGTTGGCTCTGTCATGTATTAGGAATTATTTGAGGCACTATTCAAAGACAGCACTTGTTTGAAGAGTGGAGGTGGTGTATATATTAAGCCTCTATTTCTTGGTATTATAGACCTGCCTGTTGCAGACTAGAATTCTGTGCAACAGAAGATCTCAATCAACAAGGTTGCTGAGGCAATGGAATAGACAGTCCAGAGAAGCCATGGATGCCCCATACCTACAGGTGTTCGGGGCCAGGCTGAATGGGGCTTTGGCTAACCTGGTCTGGTGGGAGGTGACCCTGCCCATAGCAGGGGTATTGAAACTGAATGGTCTTTAAGGTCCTTTCCAACTCAAACCATTCTGTGATTCTATCATTAAATTGACTCCTAGCAGGGCTGTATTTTATTTTTTTTCCCTCTAAAGCTTAATATCATCCTGCACATGGGAAACTTAAAGAGTATTTTGAAAATTAGCTGGCCATGTTTAAACACAATAGGATGTTACTTGAGTAAAAGTAATTTTAGATCTCCAGGATATGAGAAATAATTTTCTTAAAAAAAGCGTATGTTTTTCAGGATTCTTTTGGGCACCTTGCATCTTTCTCCCCCTGCTCAGGCACAGGAAATTTTGAGCCATCGTATATATGAATGTGGGTTTCGGCGCAGCTGTAAAATCAGGTTGTGCAGTAGTGAGTCCTGTCTCTCATTATCAAAGCTGTCTATTCATATCAGTCCTGAAAAACCTCACTTTCACATATGTTTTACAGGTCATAGTGGAGAAGGTATCAGGATCTCAGATTGTTGATATTGACAAAAGGAAATACTTAGTTCCATCTGACATCACTGTGGCCCAGTTTATGTGGATCATCAGGAAGAGGATTCAGCTGCCCTCTGAGAAAGCAATATTCCTCTTTGTAGACAAGACTGTCCCACAGTCCAGGTAAGTAGCTGTTCACTTGGTATTCAGAACCATTTTAGCACGGCTGTACATATCGGAGGAACAAAAAAAACCTTCCTGAGGATTTGTCATCAATTTTGGAAGGCATTTGGTCACATTTTCATCTTCTTGTGATAATGACTTTTTTGGTCACATATATTGATAAACATCTAGTTCCTCAAGCTCAGCTGAAAGTTGAATGTAAAATACATTCTGATTATTTACATTGCAAGAAGGTAAACTGGAGTTATGACATCATAAATATCAGATAACTTCTCCATGTGGCAAAAAAAAGTTGCATGTTAAATGCTCAAAAGCCAAGACTGTAAATTATTTTAAAAAATCATTAACCTAATTCTGTCAGCTCACACAGAAACTTTTTTTTTTTTTTAATAATCTTTTCCTATAAATAGTAAATGCAAAGTAGAAGTAATGTGAAAAACACTGCTCTGTAGAGTAAGCATCAGTGGTTGTCTGCTACATACAGAACAAAATATGGTATTAGCAGCTATTACAGCAGCTTGCTATACAATCTATTTTAATAATATCTGAGGAAATAGAATGTGGTGTTACTTGGTTTAGAGGCATTGTTATTCTTGTTAACACCTGTGTAACAGCACCTCCAGATAACCTGACCAGACTCAGCGAGAAATATTTTTATTTAATTCATGATACCTCTGAGAATCATAGGACCTGTGAGGACCACCTTTTCTTTCTTCTCTATTAGGAACGTCTTAGTTCCCTCTTCTCAGTACTGTAGAACTGCTAGGAACAAACAGGAAAGGAAAAGAAAAAGGGGCGTGTTGTATCATCTCAAGCAATGATGATATCACAGCTCTGCTGAAAATACAAGGCATTGAACCTCCAAGCTGATGTAGAAATAGTAACTTTTGTTAATAGGTAAAAATGTAACTGGTCAACAGTTCTGCCCCTTTTCTAGGCCAAAGGTACTGCATAGACGACTCTTAACATCCTTTTCATCCAGAAGGTTATCTACTATTTATCAATTTCCATCAATTTCAGGTACTGTCTGCAACTCTCCCCAGCTCCTTTCCTTGTGCACTACCCCTTTCTCACAGGGAAAAAGCCATGATTGTTTCCCTGTCACCCACATTCAGTCTGTATCTTTCAGTTGATTGGCCTTTTCTCAGACACTCTTGGGAAGTTAGAAAAGATGATCGAAGGAGCGTCTATGCAGCTGACTCACATCAGTCACTGTTTCATCTGTCATTCACAGACACCTGAAGGAGTTGTGCTGGCCAAGTAATTGCTTGAGTTTGATTCTGTTTTCATAATACAGTCATCCCACAAAAGACTACTTAACCTGCGAAGGGCCACAAGCCTATCCTCATAAAACAAATGTTCAAAAAGTACTAGTTTCTAACTGCTTTGGAATTTTGGTAGCAGCACTACTTTATAGTCATCACTTCTTAGCAGTATAGACAAAAAACCTTTTTACTTCTCCAAACAACCTGGACCCGAAAGAAACTGTCCAGAAAACAAATTTGATGAATTTGAGACCATCAGAACAGTCAAGGCAATAGCACATGGAGGGAGAAATCAGGTTGTTTACTCAAGAAGCAAGGTTTCAATGTGGCTGCATTCATGCTGTGCTGTCACGCTCTTAATCTTGCTGTTAGTCATGGCCTCAATAATGTATGATTCAGAAACTGAAATACATCCAGTGACTAATTTTCAGTATAAGGAAGCACTTTGATAAACACATTTGTGATGTACAGAAGTAACAGAAATCTAACAGAAATGCTCCAGAAAGAGAGCACTGGACCATTTTGTGAGCACAGATGTCAAATGCGTTTTATATGTTCTTATTTACATACAAACTTAATGTTAGCTTTTATGAAGCCTTGTTTATGTGAGGTTGAATTACCATTTGCAATGGTCATCTTGCAAGAAAGCTTTTTCTCTTTCCCCCCCTTCAAGCTTAACTATGGGACAACTTTATGAGAAGGAGAAAGACGAAGATGGATTCTTATATGTTGCCTACAGTGGAGAGAACACATTTGGTTTCTGAATGGTGGATCTTGGCTACTATACCATCCTGCTGTGTATCTTGTAAATAGCTGATCATTTTCTGTTCTGACATCCACAGAAGTTCCTTCTATATACATGCATTTGTAACTGGATTTATTTCCTAATATAGATAGGTCTTGTTTTATTAGACTGTTAAATTATGAAAAAAAAAGTTTTTTGTGTTTTTTTCTCATGGCTATGAATTCCTAGAGCCTCATTCCTTTGGGAGATACATTTACACATTGATTAAATAATAAAGCTAAGTAGTTGGGCTTCTAAGACATGGAAAGAAGAATGCACATTTATTCTGTTTTGAGATGTTAAGTTTGTGAAAAATGAAAGCATTGCATTAGTATTGGGAACACTGGAGTTGCTAGATTATCCTAAGCGGTAGCAAGATGTTGATCATGTTAAAACTGCAATAGTATGTACCTCTTTCTCACTTAACAAACAATAAAAATTCCTACCACAGACAGTTCTGTTATTTCTTTACCTTGGTCAGCAAATTGGATATCGTATTTACTAGACAGTATACAACTGCTTACATTATTTACTATACACTGTGCAGCTTCTCAGCATTTAGGATACGGATAGTGATAGAGAGAGGGAAGGGGATTTACCTGTAGGATCTTAAATCTAATAGATTCAGAGCTATTAGATCTAATCAGAAGAAAAGCCAGGCCTGTACACAAGCTATCAAGAGAGAAGTAAATATTGTGGGCTTTGAGAAGCTGGACCTACGTGACAAAATCATAGCATATAAAGAAAGGGCACCTTGAAGAAGGAATAATACTAACAGGGGACCAGAGAGCTGGAGAACTGGAAGGAACAATTTGTACATTAGAGAGAGAAATAATTGGTAAGGCGCACATATTAAAACAGTTGCATTAGCACCTCTTAAAAAAGAGACCAAAAACAAAATCCACAACACACAGCAGTAGTCATGCTAGGGGCATGAACATGTAAACATACATCTTTTCCAAGCAAAAAGAATTAGTAGGTATTTTAAGGATATTATAGAATCAAGTATGTGAAAAAAGCAGCTTTGCTCTTTTGAAATACAGAACTAGAATTAGAGATGCTGCATGCAAGATAAAGACTTAAAAGACTTAAAGAATCACTTCCTTAGTCTATGAGCACTACTGCTGAAGCATAACATAGCAAAAATAGAGGTTTTACCATTAAACCATAACTGTCTCTACTTAAGAGGCAGTTCAGTCAGAGGTTTGCTTCTATGAAACTGCAAAATCAAAAACAACAAAATCAAAAACAGTTACCAGCACAATACTAGAGTTCATGCTCTGACAAGAAAGGACAGAACTAAATTGGAAAAGTGGCATTGCTTTTAACTTCATGAGTCAAAAAGAGTCACTAACTCCAGTTTAGGTTCTTAATGTTTTATGTTTCTTAATAAAATGTTTTTTATTTATTCAAATTTAAATTTATTTATTTATGCTAAATGGTTTAGAACTATACTTTACTTTATGAAATGTTTCCAGACATAGGAAACACTGCTTTCTAAGTGTAAATCATACTCATGCTGGACTCAAGTTCCCATAAAGCCACCTTATGCCTAGAGTTACGTTTGGCTCTGCAGGTCCAAGAGCTACTGTATAAAGACTCCTCCATGAAGAGACTGGAACTTGTGGAAACCACACTGTTCTGGTGCTTTTTACAATAACAGTGCTGCATGTGCTTACTGCATCTAAGAATGCACTGTTGATTTTGGTAAACCTTTCATTATTTGAAATAGCACACTGTACCTAGGCTTACAGTACCACAATATAGCAGTACCTTAGTAAACATTCTTTCACTGTTTCTTCCATGGGTTCATTCCACCGCCCTTTCAGTGGATTTTGTAGACTGTTTTCTCTAAACAGAATTTTTGATTCAGAATTAAGTGGCTGCAGCTTGCTTCCCATCTGTAAACCATGAATGTTACAATGCCCTTGTAAGGATATTATTGATTTCCAGGACTGTTATGCTCTGAGAAAGAACAGTTAGACTGCTCAACTACATTTGGTGGCCAGTTCTAACATTTTTCTTCCCTCCTTATCAGTAGTAACTTTCCAGCAGTAACTCACTCTGTTTTCAAAGCTTATGCCTCAAGCATTTCCTCCAGGTGCAGTTTCATAACCAGCTAATAGTATGCAATCAACAGAAGGAAGCATGGCTCTTGTGCTTACTGGATTAATTGCAAAGCTGGCAATGCCTAGCAAAAACCCATTTTGCTTGGTTTGTTTCTCCACTAAGACAGTAATTTCAATCATTTTTCCATTTACTTTGAATGTATTCAAAACAGTAAGCATTCAAGCCAGTGTGAGGTGAGCAACAAAAGTACAATTTGAAGATAATAACTTTGCTTTTTCAAGGCAGAGGGATGCTACCATATAGTCTTGTGGAACTGCAATCTCAAATGGATAATAGTCTACGTTAGACCTGGCCAAACAGTTGTTTTTGTTCTGCTCCTGACTTCCTTACTTAAAAATGAGTGAGCTGCCCACCCAGCCATACAATTTCTCCAAAAGCAAATCGGTTGTAGGCATCCCACACAATTTAAGAATTACAGTTTCTGGCTTTTGGCAAATAGGGACGATCAGTCCCTATACTGGTTTGGAAAAGCCATGCATCTAACTAGGTAATACATTATGTAGAACATTTCACACATGCCATGGGACTCTGCCCTCACAAGTTCTGCTATTGCCAATTATCAGTTGTCTGTTTTTCCTCATTAACCATGAGCTGTGAGCATTCTTCTCCCTCCAACTGCTCCTTTCCAGCAGTTTCTGCATTATACTGTCCTCAGAACACCTTAACTACTTCTGTTTTTCAGCGCATCAGCTATTGGAGCGTGAAGAGTGATAAAAGCTTGGAACATGTCAACTGCTATGTTCCAAGAGCAATTCTTTCAGAGAGCTACAAGCAATGCTGGTAGTATGCTACCTCTTCCAAAAGCAGAGTTTGTGATATCTCTATGCAGTTTTGTCTTCCAATTTTTAGAGCTGTTTCTCAGTTCTACCTGCAGCGTTTCCTGACATTTTCTAATTAATCAACTGCAGCATTTCAACACCTATTTTCAATCCCAGAAATGCTATCAAGTAGAGTATAAGATCCCCAGTACAAGAAGGCTGTTGGTGAGGGTCCAGAGGAGAGACACAAAGATGATCAGGAGACTGGAGCACCTTCCCTACAAAGACAGGCTGAGGAAGCTGGGCTTGTTCAGCTTGGAGAAAAGAAGGCTGCAGGGTGACATCATTGCAGCATTTTAATACCCAAAGGAAGCCTACAAGCAGGAGGGGAGTCAACTCTTTGAAAGGGTAGATAATTGCAGGACGAGGGGAAATGGCTTTAAGATGAGGGAGAGAAGATTTAGATTGGATGTCAGGGGGAAGTTCTTTACAGAGAGAGTGGTGAGGTTCCGGAACAGCTGCCCAGAGAAGCTCTGGATGCCCCGTCCCTGGAGGTGTTCAAGGCCAGACTGGATGGGGCCCTGGGCAGCCTGGCCTAGCATTAAACGAGGAAGTTGGTGGCCCTGCATGTGGCAGGGGGGTTGGAGATTCATGATCCTCGAGGTCCCTTCCAACCCTGATCATTCTGTGATCCTGCAGACTTAGCCCAAGTCTTTTAAATGCTGCCTTGTCTTAGTTCTTTCCCTTCCTGAGTATTCACTGACTCACTGTAAGATTAAACATGTCCTTAACTTCACTCAGAAAACAAGATTTATATTAGCATTCAGCACCTCTAAAGCTGCTTTTAAATTTCACAAGTATTAGAAATCAGGAGTCTACAGTGGATAAGTGCTTTACAAATGCATATGAAAACTTTACTTGGAACAATTCTTTCTAATTGCCAGGCTCAAATTTTAGGAGAATTAAAAGCATTTCCATCACATAATTGCTCATCTGAAAACTGGTCTGATGCCAGGAATACAGAACAACTAACTGATATAATGTGTTTACATAACACATTTCAATATTGCATCTGGAATAAGAACTGGAAACATTCCAGTCCAGTCAGCAGGTTCAGTAGGGACCTTGCTGATGATTAACTAAGGGAAACAAGGGATGTTAAGGAATAGTTTCTGCAAGACTTCAGGGAAGGATAGATGCAAATTTCAGGAGCCTAGGAATTTACTGATTACCTCTTCAGTTACACCACAGGACTCTGCCACGGGATTGCTATTTGCTCAGTTACAGGAACTGCTACCGCTTCTCAGCAGTTCATCCAGGGCCCATCTGCAGTGGCACCTGGCCACCTTCCAGCCTCTAATGATCAATACAAATCAATATTCTGCATAATCTCCTGCCCTCTACAAACACAGAGCAGCTCTCCTTTCACCAGCTCAACCGGTCTTTCTGGATGTCAGTGCTGGACTTGAGAGGACAGGCTTGTGTGCACATAATTCAAGTTGTTAGTCCTTCAACAAAAAGGTAAGTATTCTTATTTGAAAAGTCAACCGAAGTGTGAAGCAAAATGATCTGCTGTAATCAGTTGTCATGCTGCAACGTGATCTCTGCTATCCACTTTTCAATCCCATACACAGCTTTGCAGGTTGACAATAAAAGCTGTTTTGAGAACTGCTGTGCCCATTTTTCAAATCCAAAACAGTTAAAACACTAAAGATCAAAAAACTCAAATAACTAAACAATTTTTAAGTTGTAAATTAACTACTACTTTCACCCCGCCACTGCACTGTCCAAATATTTTAGGAATACATTACAAGAGAAAAGGCATGGAAAGTATGCTCAGCAGCAGTTATGCAGTCTTGAACTTGCTCACAGAAGGCAGTAATTTGGACAAAGTTTGAGAATTACCCATTCTTCCTCCCCCAGGCAAGCAATGTGGATTGTTCTACCATTCAGATGTTAGTTGTTAATAAAGCATAAAGGAAAAGATTGCCAAGACTTCTTGCTGTCCCCACCTTGGTGGGGCTTTTAACAAACATTTAACAGGAAATGCTGATATAAATCACTATGGCATTTCTGCTTTTAATGAAGTAAGTATCACTGGAGGAGGAAAAACAAAAAGCAAGACCAACACATACTTGAAACACCAAAGTGTATATAAGTGTTTGCCTGGAATTGCACAGGATTAGGAAGTGTCTTTCCTGTCCACAGAAGCACAACAGATGAAGGGTACGTGATATAGTACTGAAATCATGAGACATGCACAGAATACCATAAGCAGTATTATTTGACAGTTTTATCCCCAGCACTCTTTTGCTTCTCTCTGGGTCCTTGTCAAACAGTAGCTGATACAAAGGACTTCCAGAGGAAGACCCTTGAAAACGACTACTTCCAGTTAGGAGCAATGGGCCTGGAGGGAGACAGAAAATTCTTCCACACAAGGAAAGCCAAGAGTTATAAAAATATGACTTACTATACATTAGGTTGTTCTTGTGATGCTGGGACAACCTCAGTGTTATGAAGAGTAGAAGGAAAACAAGCACTAAAGTTTCACAGCAGCAGCCT